AATAAAGTTAGGCTAAGACCCTGAGTATGACTTTTTTTATTAACAACCATGTTGGATTATAGATATACATACAATACTATAAAATAGACTTTGGTTTATTACGATGCCAAAACTGTAGCCAGTTTTTTTTTTTATTGAAAACTCAGCTCGATCCATCGACGGATGTGCTGCTCTACATACCGTTTTAAGTTATACAACAAACTTTTAAGTATTGCCAAACAACACTACATTTTTGTTGTATACCATAACATCCTTTACCCTCTGCTGTGATGGTATAGATTGCATGTAATGCTTTTTATATTCTCTTATATTAATTAGTTTATCCTTTGGTAAAAATAGTTTTATATCTCTATTAAACCCTAACACCAAACTCATTGCAATAAGCTATAATTCTATAATATATTGATGGTTGCCTGCCAGTCACAAAATAACTCAAGGATTATTGAACTATTCTTTTAATTAAATGCTCTAATAAAGAATAGTTTTTTTTACATTCGGCAACAGAAAAATTGAATATTGAATTTCAAATTTATTTTTTTCTTGTATATATTTTTGGTGCGGTATAGTTGTGACACACTATCATACTTTTTCATAATCATAATTTCCTATGAAATCCTCAACCGTATACCGCTCTATGCAATTTTATCATATTTCATCAAGTCAAATCAATTGATTGTGTAAAGATGAATTGGACCTTAAGTAAGCTTCGACCAAAATTTGCAACAATTTACATTTGGACTTACTTTTATAAAATATTTATATATAAGAGAGATTGGAGTAAGGCAATGAGTACGTCCAACCCCAACTAATCAAAAGTAATTTATATGTAAATGAAGGTAGTTTGGGCAATGTCTTGAATTTCAACATTTTAAAAGCTTCATAAGTAAAAATCTCCATCACCCTTAATATCAGAAGTATTATTATAATTGTTATCAGGCTCATTGTAGTTCAAAGATTTCTTCAGCTAATAATATACATTTTAGATGATATTTTTTCTACTAATATTTATGATATCAACTTTATTCCTGTTATATGATTGAAATATACGATTTAAAGAAAAATCTAAAGGCATTTTCTTAGTTCCAAGATGCAACATGGTACTACAAAGCTACTAATGGTTTTTTACAATTATAAAAAACTAGAGGTCGTCCAGTGGTCGAAAACTCCAGCAAAAATATGTAATGTGCAGACTCTCCACCCAAGCTGTAACTAAAACATGTGATTGTAATTTCTTCAGTTTGTTTTTATTTTCTGTTTATATTTCGTTGTTATTTCGTCACCAGCATGGCAACCCTTAAGGCCCATGTTATTTTTTTTTTATTTTTTTAGGGATTCTGCACACCTACAGGAAAATATATTTCTAAGTATGCGTAGATTTTCCCTACGATACACATGAGCTGGGAATAAAGGTTTAAAGAAACATGCTTACCTATTAATATTAAAGATTCCAGTGGTAAGACAATAAAAGGCACATCGCCTGGGGACATGCTAAGACACATATTGCAAAATTAGACAATCTAGGTCCTACATAATTTCTTTTACAAATATTCAAAGATATGATGTTTTATATTTTTATTAAGACAGAAAGGTGTACAAATCTGGAAAAATATTAAATTGGAACTATAAAAATATCCTGTAATTGAGATCCTTCTATCAGTAATACATTTTACCTATTACGTAGGTAGAGTAAGGAAGATCTGTTCTGGGAGAACAGCTCCAAAGACTCAATTTAATACACTAGTAATAGTTTACACGGAGTTTTAGATATCACATTTAGTTGTAGATTTACCTATAAAAACATTAAAGGCATGCATTTCGGCAAGAGGTACTACACATCAAAGATTCTCTTCGAGAAAATCTGACAATTCACAAATAGCAATAATCATTGGCAAAACTCTTTAAAAAATGCAATCGCATATTATCTACATCTGCTTTTAGAGCTCTCGTCATCGTTGCTAAACAAACGACAGACCATGTCGCTTCAGTCAGACCATTGGTGTCACTGACAGCTACAAGTCCAACATGGACTCGATGAATATTCCTGGTTTATAGTTTTGCATGTCGAGTTGTCGCCTAAACATAGCCTAATAATACTCACTGCAAGAAATATATTTAGCATGCATAAAGTTGTAATTAATTGATTGTTAAAATTGGATGAGTATGTATGATAAAGATGGAATTTATAATTTTCGTTTATTGGGAAGTTAAGAAATGAAACAAACTAAAATTAAAATGCATTATTGTTTAGAAACATATACCTACTACACGGTTTTCAGTCAAATACAGTTACAACCGGTATGTTTTTTTTTTTTTTTCAAATAAATATACATATCTAATGTCATACGACAAAATGCTAGTCCAGAACGAATTTTACTATATCTTTAAAGTTGATTCTCTTTCATCGTAAGTTGATTCAATAAAAAAACAGTCACCGTTCCTAAACTTTCACTATTATTTGTCACGACAACTATAAGACCGTTTGACGTAGTGAAATCCTATAAATTGCTTAATTTTTAGATTGCTTTTTAGGTTTGAAAATTTCCTGCAGATAATTTACTACTTGTCTAGTTGGAAAAAACTACAATCTTTCATCAAATGACCCACCTATAAATTTTAAGATAATATTCCATTGAACAATCACGCAACTAATCAAATTCCAAACTATGTATTGACTGTACTCAAAAATATAGCTCAAACCCCTCTTAAAACCCTTTATTTCGTAATTAGCATACCAATGTAGTATACCAATGTAGTACACCAAACATGAAATTGAGTTGATATAGATTGAGTGACTCGCACATTAACTAAGGATATTGAGAGATATAACCATCGACGTAACACACTTTGTGTGTGTACAATGCCTTGGGTGAATAGTTATACAGGGTGGCTGAAAAGTAACTTGCACCCCCTCTTACCTTTTCAACCATTTGAGATATTTTAAATCTGTTTGCAACAACCTTTTTGGATATGAGGGGCTACAATAATTATGGTCAATTTTGAAAATTTCGCCCTTAAGTGGAGGTAGGGGGTAGCTCAAAATTGTCCGAAGACAAGTATAGTCGAGTTTGGTATCATTTTACAGGTCTTGACAAAACATAACAATTGACATAAAGAAAATCTAAATCGGCCCACTCATAACAAAATGGCGCCCTAAAACGTTTCAAATTCAAATAACTATGAGGGTGGCTGAAAATTAACATGCACCCCCTTTAACTTTTTAACTATTTGAGATGTTTGAAATCGAATTGCAGCAAGTTGTTTGGATATGAAGGGCTACAATAATTATGGTCAGTTTTGAAACTTTTGCCCTTAAAGGTAGCGGTGGTAGGGGGTAGCTCAAAAATTTTATATTTGCCTAATATTAATATTAAATATTTGGAATTGTTACTAGTGGGTAATTTTAGTTATATCATTAGTTAATATAATATATATCATTGTACACCTCTGGGCCAAGTAAGAAAACCCTTTTCTACCCACTTCTAGGCTTACTTTTGGAATGTGGAGCAAGGCGTTTTGCCGGATCACGCGCTGAGCCAATTGGGTCTGATGACGATTGGAGTGCCCAATTGAAATCGATAACCACTTACGATCTTTTATATGTATTTACCGTCTTGTGAGTAAACATTATAAATATATATATATATATATTATTAAAACTGTAATGCGACGTATTTTTGTACTTTCATGTAATTAAATAACGCATACGATATCGATCATGAAGTTATTTAATATAAGACTAAATTGGAATGGCATCCAGCCATAATAATAAGGTCAGCAGTTCAAGTCATGCTACAACATAACCAACGACAACCCTAATATAAGGGATATTTATAAGTTCAGCCCTCTGTATACACCAACTATTTACATTTCATAAATTCATATGAATAAAACATCACATGTATAACAAATATAGAATATAACCACGAATCTTTTGAATACATATTAATACTATGTGAATTGCATCAAGCAGAATTTGTTTCACATAATTAGAACTAAGTTACAATCATTTATAATAATTAATTGCTCATATAACTAACAATAGTTGATGAATACTAAGTAAGGCCTACAATAGCTCTCAAAAAGGAAAATAAAAGTTTTAGGTAAATTAAATTAGTTGTAAAAGATTATTGAATCCTAGACTGGTGTAGATATATATACTGTAATTATAATAATATATATGACAATAAAATTACCAAACAATAACAACTTTACCTGATCAAAATGTCAAAATAAACACAAAGAAAACAAATAATAATAAAAATCTTAAAACATTTACAACCTTTAAGTAGTTGAATGTTATTGGGTTATTAGGTATTGTTATTTAGGTAATATTATTAGGTAATTAAACGTAGTGTCTGTAAGTATCGGAAATAGTATATCTTACTCCGTAAGGGATTAAAAATGAATCTGAAGAATCAAAATGTGTTTGGGCCCTTGTGTAATCTAGAATTTGTTACGTATACGAGGGTCGACAATAAAGGAGCTCGATAAAAAGACAATTATTCGATCGATATTCGATTTTCACACTCGGTAATTGGTGGAACAAAATAGTGTTTAAGAACTGTATTTTACGGATAAGAATACATTATCATCTTAATTATGTTTAAAGAAGGTTAAGTCTCGTAAACAGAATTCTTCACTGGTTTGAGGAGACATTTTAAAGTTAGTCTCTGGTCTCGGATTTTAATGTCTCAGCTGGAAATTGTAAAGGAAGCATGGAATCGCTTGTAGTTAGTGCTAAGAGTCTGTTCAAGGTTCAAATCCCGCCAATAACAAATAGTTTTTAGCTCTATAATAGTCATAGCTCGGTGTTTTGTAGATTATATTGTGTGGTTGACCCACCCCAAATGCATGGATCTATACTTCAGGAACTCAACATTATAATTGGAACTTTCTCCAACAGTACCAGCTTCTAGTCTCCACAACCACAAAGGTGCCGTGTAAAGGGGTAAAGGTCTTGTATTACCATCAAGAAGCTACATACTCTGTATTGTTGGCAGGGGCCGCCTACGTCAACAGCGGGGGAAACTCCCTAGACGGGTTGACATCTACCCAGCAGCCGCTTCTCTCCAGGTTCGAGCCCTACTTTGACCCTTTGACCCCACGCAACGTCACCGCCTTGGTGGGCAAGTCGGCGTACCTCAGTTGTCGAGTGCGCAACCTTGGCAACAAAACCGTAAGTCAAATCTCTACTCTTTTGCCATGAATTAGCAAAGCAGACACGTTAGTGAGCAGAAGCTACAATTTCGCATTTAAATACTTTTAAATTAGGTAAGATTTACACAAAAAAATAGCAAAACTCAGATAGATACCTCAATCATACCAGAGTAACCCTCAATGTAGGCATACTGTGACCATTAGTCACCAAATTTTTTTATTCTAAAATTACTATTTAAAAGTTAAAGAACTTGTAATAGGATTTGACAATAAATATACCAGTGTTGGATCGCTGGCACATAGTAGACACAATGCTTGATGAAATGTAACCTTATTTATCAATCGAGCCACTGAACAACATGAACTTGTCAATTGCAACTTGGATACACTGAGGCTTTAGTTGGACCGAGAGGGAGATACTAGGCCCCAGACTGTCTCAAGGATACTTCAAAACCCAGTCGTCGGGTTTTTGTGGTAGGCAACTATCATTAATTGATATTAAAACATAGACATTGTCCAGGTCACCCACCATATATAATAATCCAATGATTGTCTGTTGTTATTTTATACATGTTTATCGCAATTCTGTACATTATAACTATTATTTAATTTTAATGAGACATAAATAATTAAATTCCTGTTTTGTAATTGGACATATTAGAGAATCAATCGTGACAATACAATGGTAAACTAAGCTGAGAAGCAATTTACCTTAACCAACGTACAGTTTAAAGTTATCTACAAAAATCACAGGAATATAATAAACCATCTATATTAAAAATACATCCAAGCTGGATATTCATATGAGGTTTCATAGTTAGTTTTAAGTGTATCTTGTAACAACAAGAAAAACAAGAAACAAATTTCATTACTGGTTGAATTTGTATTGGCAACGAGATGCTGTGGAGCACAATCACTAGGTCTGGCACGCTGGCTCTTCCTCGGCTGAATACGATTGTTCAAATCTAATGCTTTCTGTTCTATACGATGATATTTCTGGCAGGTATCCTGGGTAAGGCACAGAGACATCCACATCCTCACTGTAGGCGCCTACACATACACCTCGGACCAGAGGTTCATGGCGATCCATCATAGGGACAACGACGAATGGACCTTGCAGATCAAGTGGGCTCAGAAGAGGGACGCGGGGATATACGAGTGCCAGATCTCCACACAGCCCGTCAGGAGCTTCTTTGTCAATTTAAATGTTGTTGGTAGGTAGACAAGCATAGTCCCTTTGTCTGAGATTCTGTGGCTCAGTTTATTATCCAGTAGAATATACCTGAAAACTCCTTTTAGGCTAGTCAAATTAAGGGTAAAAAAGGTTTAACATCAAACTAATTGTAAAAGAAAGAAAGTAATGTTTTTTGGATGCGGAATGGTGTCCCGAAAAACATATCAAAAGTCTACCAAAATCCACGCAGGGGAAGTCCGCCATATTGGCCGCCATCTTTGATTTAAAAAAAATCTGAGACTTATGAGTATTATGGTTCTTGAACGACCAAATATCAACCGAACAAGGCGAGCAAAGTGTCTATTTAATATAGAATTAAACCAGCTTTTTGATTATGTATAACATGTAGACATTTGGCAAAGCCAAAATTTAGCAAATTCAAAAAAGCCTTCGAAATAAACGGATTTTTTTTATATTTTTTCTCTTTAGTCCCCTAAAACTAAATAATTACTCAACTTAACAATTGATCAAATCAATAATATTTTTAAAACATTCTAAGAGGTTTTTAATAATATATATATATATATATATATATATATATACAAATATATCATCAAAATTGCTTTGGCCAAACTTCAGTGAACCGGCTTTTTCATACTATGAACACTCAGCTCTTTGCTGTTTAAAGGTAGTCATGAATAATGGTTGTTAGAACTAAAGAGCTAATATGTAAGTTTACTAAAACACATAACATAGTTTAACAAATTGACAAAAATAAATATTAACACGCGTTTTTTTAAGTCGAAGCTGTTTTGATGAGTAAATAAAAAAAAATACCGGCACTTATAACCCAGTGACCTTGTTATAAAAAGCAAGGTCTACCTTGCATGAAATGGGGTAGTAGGTTTCTTTTTTTATGTTGTTTGTAATAGTACCGAGATGCTAAATCCAAATTTTCGACCTCGGCGACCTTACGCATCACCTCCAAAAAGCTTAAAAATCGGCGGAATTTCGCACTATTTTTACGTTTGTGTGATTTTGACCCTGAAGCATCACTTTTTCATAGAGAACAGCCGTAATAATTTTTAAGTACATTAAATGTGATCTGCCTTTGGTAGTTTGTGGTGATCTGAACATAGACAATTTGGAAAATACCTTTGAGAAGGACTGTTTCAATGATGTACTCAGTTCAAGTAACCTACATGTCACCTTTAAACATTATACAAGAATCGATCAAACCTCAAACAAACATAGCCAGCTTGACTACTTAATCACCGATTTCCAAAACCAGCTTTATTCAACTGTTATTCTACCACCTCTCTTATCAGATCACTGTATAGTTGTTTTTAATTTAAATTTGAGTTGCCATAAAATCAAGAAAAAAGTTGAGAAGCGAAAATTAACAAAGCCTAACATCTCTACATTTGAACATCTTCTCAAAACCCATTTGGTGCAAACCCTAGACGCAACTGCTAACACAAACGATGCGTTTGATGAATTCTATTCCTATTTTGTTTATTCATTTGATATATGTTTTCCTAAAGCAATTTATAATAGTAAGGATGATTCTCATGTCAAGTGGATTACCCCAGAGGTTACTGATTTGCAAGAAAAACTCATAGATCTGTACTGGCGAACAAGAAATGTAAATAGGCCTAATGTAAATAGTAAATTAGAATACAATAATGCTAAGCGTCTACATTCCGATCTTCTTAGCAGAGCAAAGAAACAATTCTACAAGTCAAAGATTGACAATGCTAAGAATATTAGTAAAGAATCATGGGCAATTATTCGAAACTTGACATGTGATGACAATGTAAATAGTTGTAATATAGGTCTTAAGTTTGATGACGAGCTTGTTACTCACCCGAGTACTATAGCAAATATTTTTAACAATTACTTCATTTCTGAGATTGACAAGCTGGCGGGTCCAGCGATTAAGATAGATATAGACCCAAACCAAGTCCCCGATGAAGGTGATTTCCATTTATGGCCTACAAACGAGAAAGAAGTACTGAGCGTAATAGATAAAGTTAGCAGAAAGAGTAGCGCTGGTGTGGATGAAATTCCTTGTAGCCTTCTTAAATCATGTAAAGATATCATAGTTAAGCCACTAACAAAAATAATAAATAAGTCGTTTTCACAGGGCATTTTCCCCAACAAAATAAAAACATCAAAGGTTGTACCTATATATAAGAACAATGAAAAAGACATAGTTAAGAACTACAGGCCAGTAGCAGTACAAAGTGTTTTTTCAAAGATCTTTGAAATCATATTCTTAAAGAGATTGTTCCCTTATTTGGAAGATAATCAGGTATTGAATCCTGATCAATATGGTTTTAGGAAAAACAAATGTACAACTGATGCAATATTTAATCTACTAATAAATATCTATGATAATCTTGATATTGTTGGCGAGCAGCTCTGTATTTTCTATGATATGACCAAAGCATTTGACCTCATTTCCCATGATATTCTTATAAAAAAGTTAATGGCTATCGGCATTAAAGGTAAAGCCTTAAATTGGGTAGCATCTTATTTGAAAGACAGGAAACAAATTGTTAGTGTCAGGTATTCTGGGCAAGATGGTTTAAGGCGCCATTATCTATCGGCCACCTCATCTCCTGTAAACACCGGTGTACCGCAAGGTTCCAACCTAGGCCCTGTACTGTTCTTGCTGTTCGTGAACGACCTACCTGAATCTGTCTCAATAGGAAAGATTTGGCTATTTGCAGACGATGTTAGCCACCTGGTGCAGGACAGAGACGAACAGATGCTTAGGCACAAAGCTCAAGATGGGTTAAACCAAATGAATAATTGGTGTAAGGACAATAAGCTGATTTTAAATAAAGGAAAAACCAAAGCTCTCCAATTCCATAACAGGAAAATCCCAGATAACTCACCATTACTCAAACTTGAAGGCACCAGTATCAAAATTGATAATCACATAATGTATTTAGGCCTAACCATCAGTGACAATCTTAAATGGCAGGATCATATCCAACAAATTTCGCCCAGATTAACAGCTGTGTGCCATATGGTCCGAAGGCTTAAGTCAATTGTTGATAATGATGTTTTAATGAAAATTTACTTTGGTTGCTTTCAAAGTATTGTCAACTACGGAATCTTATTCTGGGGAAACAGTCCTCTCGCAAGCAGAATACTACTTCTTCAAAAAGAATAATAAGAATAATTTATAATGCTCCATACCTTGCCCATTGTAAAACTCTTTTTGTTGAAGCAAAAGTCCTTACGGTGCCAGCAATATTTATTTTGGAATCTGCCCTAATAGTTAAGAAGAACCCGAACACGTTTCCACAAAACAAAACAATTCACAACTACTCAACAAGGCAAAAAAACAACATTCATCTAAATCAAGTCAACTCAAGTTTAGTAAAGGACGGACCAAAGTTTTTATCAAGCTTAATCTACAACTTGATCCCTCTAAATATAAAAAGCATTGAAGATCAAGATGAATTCAAGAGGAAATTTAAAGAATATCTATTGAAGAGGCCATATTATTCTGTTGAAGAATATCTAAAAGAAAAATAGGCCAAAAAAAACTGACGACCACGGCGCAGCTGCGCTACCAGTGGGAGATCACCAAGTATCAAGTAAGTAAGTAAATTACCTATCTTTTAAGACCAAAATGGTTATCACAGGCCTAATAGTTTTCAAGATATGACCCAGCAAACAACGGCTAAAATTATCAAATTTTGAACTTGTTTAAAGTTGGGCTACGTTAACCCAAAGCATAATTTTAATATTTTTCATTAAAACAACCATAATTACATTAAAACTACATTAAATTACTCAAAATTTAAGAATAAAATGGTGATTATTAATAGGCCTAACACATTGAGAGATATGCCTCTTCAAGGTTCCTAAAATCTTCCATAAATGATTGTATTTTAAGTTTCAAGCTATTCAATTTGGTCAAATTTTGTAAAAGAACCATAATAAGAAATAAACAAATTTATTTCATTTCAACATTAGATTGTTTTATAAAAAAACTGTTACTCGTAAAATGGAAACAAATCCATCGTATCTATCTACATAAACACACACGCACATTGTAACTATAAATGGTTCTCGTGGATAGAACACAGGCCTGTGTAGAACGGTATTTATTGTATTTTGTATTGTCGCGTGAGCAGGTTGGAGAACACGAGGGCGATGGAGTCTGTGATTAGGTGATCCTTGTACCTTTGGACATGAACTCGTCTTGTGGGGGTATCAGTTGAAGATTGACTTGTATGACTAACTTGAGACGTTTGGATGTGTGCACTATAATTTAGTTTTTCAATCAATTGAGACAAGGGCAATGGTGAAAATCTATGTGTGAAGATGTGCTTTAAATCTTCATCCGACTGCTTCAGGACACATGACCTGTGAAACAATGTGAGGGGGCCAAGTCACCTTTATATTGCCATCAGTCACAGTATTAACTTCAGAAGAAAGATATACTACTCTATTATTCTTTCTTTTGTATCTGACTTATTCATATTTTTCTCATAAAACTCTTAACATCGCTTCCTTGTCAATATCTCTAGCCATTGACAGTTTCCCTCCAACAATTCCACTGCTTAAGAACATTATAACGCCAGTTTTAGGGAATGGAGGGTGACGTGACGAAGTAACCAGTCACACAGCTTCTCTATATTCGCTTCAATTCTAGTGACTCGTGAGGGTCTCATTTCTAAATGCTACTCAGTTGTATGTGCCTTAACATTGCAGTAGGCCTACTCCTCAACCTCAGCACTTATATTCTACAGATAAATTATATCATTCCTAATGTCCATCGGGTGAGCACGGTGTCAGTTATACCACGGTTCCGACTCAAACCTACATAGCTTTTCATTAAGCAAATGAGCACCTGCTCTATAGTCATTTCCGTCCAATCATCCGTCTAGAACTTTTCAGAACGCACAATGGTGAAGGACCCGTTGGTGGTAAATAGCTGGTGTTTATTGAAATTCATCTTGTTTCCTAATTTCAACATATCCTGCATGTACCGATGCAAAAACTTAGCATGAAAGAAGTAATATGTAGCATGGCAGAACGGCAGCAAAGTTAAAACCTGTTTTCACTGTTGCCTCTTCATTCTTTCTATCAATTCCTCTTGATAGTATGAACATTTTAATTACAATAGATTTCTTCCATTAAAAAACTTATAATCTATTGTTGAAATGAAATAAAAATGTTTATATTCTTAGTATGGTTTTTTTATAAGATTTCACCAAATTGAATAGCTTGAATTAAGATTCAGGTAAATACAAACATTTATGGAAGATCTCAATGTGTTAGGCATATAATCACCATTTTGGTCTTATATTGTGAGTAATTTTATGTTGTTTTAAAGTAATTATGGCTGATTTAATGAAAAAATATGAGAAAGTTATGCTTTAGGGTTAACTTTAGCCAAACTTTAAAAAAGTTCAAAATTTTATAGTTTTGGCCATTGTTCGCTGAGTCATATCTTGAAAACTATTAGGCCTGTAATAACCATTTTGGTCTTAAAAGATAGGTAATTTAATGTACCTAAAAATGATTACGGTTGTTCTCTATGCAAAAGTAATGCTTCAGGGTCAAAATCACACAAACGTAAAAATAGTGCGAAATTCCGCCGATTTTTAAGCTTTTTGGAGGTGATGCGGAAGGTCGCCGAGGTCGAAAATTTGGATTTGGCATCTAGGTACTATTACAAACAACATAAAAAAGAAACCTACTACCCCATTTCATGCAAGGTAGACCTTGCTTTTTATAACAAGGTCACTGGGTTATAAGTGCCGGTATTTTTTTTATTTACTCATATAAACAGCTTCGACTTAAAAAAACGCGTGTTAATATTTATTTTTGTCAATTTGTTAAACTATGTTATGTGTTTTAGTAAACTTACATATTAGCTCTTTAGTTCTAACAACCATTATTCATGACTACCTTTAAACAGCAAAGAGCTGAGTGTTCATAGTATGAAAAAGCCGGTTCACTGAAGTTTGGCCAAAGCAATTTTGATGATATATTTGTATATATATATATATATATATATATATATATTATTAAAAACCTCTTAGAATGTTTTAAAAATATTATTGATTTGATCAATTGTTAAGTTGAGTAATTATTTAGTTTTAGGGGACTAAAGAGAAAAAATATAAAAAAAATCCGTTTATTTCGAAGGCTTTTTTGAATTTGCTAAATTTTGGCTTTGCCAAATGTCTACATGTTATACATAATCAAAAAGCTGGTTTAATTCTATATTAAATAGACACTTTGCTTGCCTTATTCGGTTGATATTTGGTCGTTCAAGAGCCATAATACTCATAAGTCTCAGATTTTTTGAAAAATCAAAGATGGCGGCCAATATGGCGGACTTCCCCTGCGTGGATTTTGGTAGACTTTTGATATGTTGTTCGGGACACCATTCCGTATATAAAAAACATTACTTTGTTTCTTTTACAATTAGTTTGACGTTTTTCCTTAATTTGACTAGCCTATTTACCCTTAATGACCTAGTGTTGCCGCTTGGCAACACAAAACATGATTTTCATTACTTAGTAGCGCAATTTTGTTTTTGGAAATTTCGATTGGCAAACCTGTGTTTTTGATACAGGAACATGTCCTCTATGTGATAAAGTGGTTCCTAACCCTAATCTTGTCTCTGAGATACTTGGTGATGTTATAAGTTTCAGAATAATATCCAGAAAATTAATAACACTGCTTGAAAATATGTACTTGGATATCACCTCAGTCTGACAATTTTTCAAATTTTGTTTATAACTGAAAAATTAAAATAGCCATAAAGTAGATTTTAAGACATAATGTATCTTATACAACCAGATAAGCTCATGGAAATGCCAGGCATAGTATTAAACGTTTAATTAGTTCATCTTGTATAGATGAACTTTTCAATATTTGTGCTTAAATAGTTCGGATAACCAGCTAGACTATTGTCAATATCTGACCTCTCAATCTAACTCCGTGCAATTGGTTTTATTTTACCAAGTCTTTTACGTTATATCCTAGACAAAAGAACCTCAAAATATATTTTATTATTCTAACTTACATCTAATATTTACCTGGGGTTTTGCAGTCCCGACGGCCGCCATTTTGGGAGGGCCAGACCTCCATGTGGACAAAGGCAGCACCATCAACCTTACATGTACCATCAGGTACAGTCCTGAGCCTCCAGCGTACATCTTCTGGTATCACCATGACGAGGTGGGTATGCTAGGACAATGAGTAACTACAATAAACTACAAAATAATCGAAGCTACCTACATCAAGCTGATCAAAGTGCAAAAAAAAATATATAAAAACTGTAGGAAAACTCATAAAGTTGTGAAAAGGTGGTAAGGTGAGTGCCTAAGATGAGTGTCTACAGCACTTGCCTGCCAACTTAAAGTTAACCGGTCAAATCCTGAAAAAAGGCAGTTGGGTTTGAAAGTTAGAAAATCTTTGGAATTTTCATTATTGGCACTCTCAGGGAGGTCTATATTGATTGTACAATCAATAGGTTGGAACAATAGACCTTCTAATGGTCTTTACACATTGATGGTTCTCCAGTCTATGATCTATGGTCTATTATGATGCGGTTCGCTACACAGCCTCTATACACTAGGTACTATGTCAATAGTCACTTGTTTATGCATTATTTAAATTCAAAAATATAAACTTTAGACAAGGAATAGTAAAAGAGAATTCAATAAATTTTGTTATAGCAAAACAATAAAACTAACTGGTTTTCGTTAAAGTAAATATTATATTATAAACACACATCTATCGCGCATTTACATAGACTATGTTGATATTTCACAAATGTATAATGTATAAAATGTTTCCCTGACGAAGTAGTCTTATATGCTGGAAATGTAGATGGTGCAAAGAATAATGTAGATAACAAATTAACATTACGATCCCACTTGCTCATAAAACATCAAGCTCTAAAACTCTTAGCAGACAAATGGATATGTTATAAAAAACAATAGTCCTTTAAGAGAGGGGATAAATAAGTCAGTATGTCATATTTTATACATTCATGTGTGTATAATATGTCTGTTTTGCGGATAATCATCATCTCAATATGCAGGGTTATATGACAAACCCAACTCTGTCATTGTTTTCAGCAGATTTTATCAGGGATTCTTATTTGTGTGCATTGTATTTTTTAATATGTAATTTCCGTTAGAGGTTCATATAGTTTACGTAGAAGGGCCTGATCTACTTTCAAACCTCAAGCTTGCTAGATTGGTCCCAGCGGAGTGATTCTGTGTGTGTACGTCATTTTTGTCATTCGACTAACAATTGTAATCCTACATAATAAAAGATTGACGTTAGATTATAACAAAACCAAGGTTTATATCGTACAATGCTAGAAAAAAACATGCAATAGCGTAAAAAACCTCACTCTGCATTAATACTCATCTTACATCACATACACGGGGTTACAACAGAGTGTGTTGTTGGTTTAATATAATTAAGTAGTGGTTGAGTCGCCAATAATTGTCCACGATTCAAAGGTACTGAAGATTTAAAGTACACAAGACAGGAGCATCTGTTTGAATGACAGAAGCACCGTGATTTCTGTATAATGCTGCCACTCAGTGCTCGACTCAATATCTGCCTGAGGGCGTTGCTAAGACAGAACGTTTCAACCCTTGCCCTGCCTTCAACCAAGCTTAAACATGGCCTACAAACAAATATTATAAAGGTGAACAATAACCAATAATTTAGAGTATCATTGCATCTAAAAATTACCAAAGATTTCTCGTATCATGTAAATTAATTCTAAACCCTTCAAAAATAACTTCGGTTTCGTTTGCAGTTTCAAACCACCTCATTTCAAACAAATAATAAATAATTTCATAAAAACAAATTGTTTTAACAAATGTATTTAGTACTAAAGTAAAAAAATAGATATATATATACTTAATAGAAGACGAGCTGATATAAGTGCTTCACAGCGGGAACAAAACGTGGAAAAGAATAATGTCATTCTTTCGATCTGCTGTATAAAATAGCTACAAATATATTACAGTATTCATTTGAGAATAAACACTCAATTTTAATACCTAGTGAATTGAAATTCTTTCCTCTATATTTAGATAAGGGGTTTAAACTTCCTAGGCAGCCATTACAGAGTATAGGTAGTGCTGACATGTGTTTGAAAATACAGCAACTCTATGATTTAATTTGAAAAGATACACTGATTTAAACCTACTTACTTTGAAACCACTAATTTTGATAGCAATAGATCCAAAAGAATATGACTTCATACCTCAGTGTAGCAATAACATTAATTACTTTATATTGATGCTTCATTAACGATTAGTTTTACCATAATTCTTTAATTTAAGTCAAGCCTCTTTACATGTAGCTTACTAAATAAATTACAAAGTAAACTGTGAGCAATACTCTAAAAAACTTGTACTACCTTTCTTTAACCAAAGATAACCCTCTCACTAAAAAACCCCATATATTTCCTCAATCTAAATAAAGTATCACAAACATATTTTTCGAGTATATAAACAAACACCATCTTAATCAAGGTCACACTAAATAATCGTGGCCTTGGTTGCATTGACCAGCTGTTTTATTAAATAAATTAAACTAAATCATTAAAAACTTTGGAAGCATGTCAGGTGCAGCATTTTGGAAATAGGCCTGTGGGGCAGAGCCCTTAAGAAATTCGTCCATACCCATACACACTCGTCGTATTCGTCCATACACACTCTAAGCTTCATTTTGATATGCTATATGTCTTTATTTGTATTTGATAAAAGGCCTTAAACGTTTACACAAATAGGAATGTAATAAATTTAATAATATAAATAGATAGATTGTTGTGTCAATTAATCAATTATTTAAGATGAGGACGCAACTATGTGCGTATTTTAACCCAAATATGAGTGTAGGATGAGTGGCGCGATCTTGTAGTCTTGTATATTATGATCTTAAATATTATGTGATGTAGAAAATCATAAATAATAAGAGCTGGCATTTAAAAACAATTAAATTATTCGAAACAAAATTTATTTACTAATTAGAACATATAGACAATTAAAATATTTTACGACAAATCATCCTTCCCTGCGAAACAGTAACTTAACCTTATTACAAACCAACCGAAATCTCACCTAAAATATAGTATTTCAAGTTCAGGCAGGCATTTGTTGTACTTCAAGCTAAATTGTAAGTAACCTAAAGAGACGTTTTGAAACTTGCAGGTGATTAGCTACGACTCTAACCGCGGCGGTGTCAGCGTCATCACTGAGAAGGGTGACGTCACCACAAGCTACCTGCTGATTCAACACGCTGAGCTGACAGACAGCGGCAAATACTCCTGCAGTCCTAGCAATGCTGACGTGGCCAGTGTCAGAGTGCACGTGCTCAACGGTAAACTTCAACATTTGTTAATAATGAATAGTCAACGTGATTCTTTCACGAAGACCATTATTACGAATCCTTACAAATGGCATTGGGTGAATTAAGACATTTATTTGTCATCAACAATGCATACTTATGAATGTATCAAACTAAAGGTCAACATTAGATAGTTACAATATCAGGGGGTTACACCATTACATTACAATAACGTCAAAATCGTTTTGGTAAAAACAAACCAAATAAGTGGAACCTACATAGTTTGTATGGATCTTTCTAACTCCTGTTCGTTTATAGCTAAGGAATACCGTTCAACTTTTAGTAAAAAAACCTCATTTGAACTATTTTTGTTATGCTAAAATATAAAAGCATTAAAAATAAAACGATTCTACTGAGGGTTTTCTGTAAAAATTAATATTTCAAACTCTTTGTAGCCAAGTGATCTAGTTCAAATCCAAGACCAATGTCCCTTTTCATACTTACTGTTCAAGCCTACTCCACATCCCTTATGGTAAAATTATTCATAGCAATCGAAAACATTGTAATAGAAATTTGACGCTTCCGCCAAGTAGATTGACTAGGACTAGATTTACTGTATTTGGCCCCAGTCGTTACTTCCTATTCCAGACCATCGCCAGTTAATCGACACGAATGAAGTAAAATGCTTGAACGTAAAAAAAGGGTTGATGGAGTTTAATGGGGGTCTTAAACATATTGTGTTGCGTGTTTTTACGGTCCAGGCCGACTCATCTTAAGTAGTGACCAAAAGTAGGGGAATTTTGCATGCGGATCGTGGTGTGACTGAACAAGAGTCATTGAGCTAATTAGGTCTCCTATGACTATCAGGGACAACGGCCTGGAAAGCTGAAGCACGCCGTTCTACAAGCAAGGTCTCTTTTGGTTTTAGATTTTCTCACAGTCTCAATAAGAACCTTATGAACACCCTCTGTCGACTCCGTTGGGCAAATATTTATTTGCTGCTAGAAACCCCTTAAGCCACTTATTCACATTCCCTATGTCAAAACGCGTTGCTGCATACACATAAGTAAACTGAAAACAGTAAACAGAAATTACCCTCTTCTTACAGAAACCTAATAACAGAACGCGATTCATAATTGGCGGAGCATCGCTAATATTAAAACTGTACTAAACGTCCCAACAAGTTACACAATAAGCTTCACAATTAACAATATGCACAATAACTCAAAATATAAAATACCAGGAAACCAACTCTTTCTTTCTCAAGACCTTTTGACTAAATTGTACACTAACTGAAGTGTCAGAATGATTTTAGCTACATGTGGAAGATAAGCTAAATAATTACTATCTATTGTTCTTCAAGCTCAAGAAAAGATTGCTGAGTTTATTTCTTATTTAAGGATACCTAGGTTTGTGATGTTTCAAAACTGAACCAGGTGTCCATGATCATAGAGATTTTAAAAAATTATCCCGACTAAAGAAAAACCCCATCTTAGTCAGAACCATCGATATGGTCAGAACACATCTTGCAGCTTCAAACAAAAACATTGTGTACGACAAAGTTACGATAAAGTTACATCGGTTTGAAAGCCAAATATGCACCCAATACTCCTTTATCAGGGGAAAAATAGTAAACAATGTTCATGGTTGTTAATAATGGATTTTTCTCTTCTAAAGACAATATTCAACACATTGTTTTGTCTGTGCAGGTGAGCGGCCGGCAGCCATGCAGACCGGGTCTGCAGGTTTGTCCAACAGCTCGTGGAACATCCTCGTGTTGATCATCCTTAGTTGGTCATACTCGGCCTTCATACTGAGGATACACTTTAGCCCCTTTTCCCTGCAATCGTCCCTTCCCCTCCCAATTCCCTTCCACCAACACAGATAATCCTTCACCAATACACTGCGGAACGTCATGTTAAGTGAAACCTTGGACTGCAAACTATTATAAACAATGTACACTTAAATCGCTAGGCTTCATGACTTTTAGTCCAGCCTGCAAAAGGAAGGTAGGAGAAGGATAGTAGTGTTCTATCCGTAAAAAGAGGTTGTTGGTTGATAAGTTGGATAATAAGTTTTATCGGAGTTGTTAAGATACTGTAGGGATGGATGAGGATTCAAACGTAAGAAACAGTTTGTCGTATTAGATATTTAAAACTGTTTACATAGTTTTGGTTAAGATTATATAAAGATAAGGAGGTGGGCTTTTTTTACAAAAGTAATAAATACAAAGGTTTTTTATTCCATAAAGAGTAACTGTAAATGGATAATAGAACGACTCCAGCTTCAATTTACAAAACGAACAAACATTTTGATAAGGCTAATTTTTTAACTATTTAATTATATTGATTTTTTTTATTCACTTCAAGTAAAATTACTAACAATAATTATGGAATAAATAAACGAATATTTAAATTGAAAAAATATAGACTTATGTTTAATGAACTAAAATTAAATCATTTACGAATAATGCCCAGTTTCAAATATGGTTTTAACTTTTTTGTACTTATTTAAAAGCATATAGAAACCATTTTCATGCAAATAATTGTATTCAAGTCACAATTACTGATTTACAAAAATGTTTATAATTAAATACAGAAACGTTAAGCACAAACTTTTAGATTTTAAGAAAAAGGTGTAATTTACAGAGTTGTTAGTGAGAAAATGTTTTTATAATAGTAAAATACTTACCATTATTTATAAAATGAAAAAATAAAAAAAATACTTCTAATAAAAATATTATTTGTACTTTATTGTAGTGTTACATGAAACTTCACAATTATTATCTTATTAATGCATTTTTTTTATATTTAAGTAGCAGCATATTGGCTACAGGTTAGTTTTACAATGTCACTAATGTTGTTAATAACTTTTTTTATAATTTGTAGCATACAATAATTTGTTAATAGCTAATTACAAATTTATGCCATAATCATTGATTTTAGTATCGAAATTAAAATAGAATGATATCGACTTATAATATGTGTATTTCACTAATTTTTTTTTTTTTCTTTAAGACGTAAAGAATATTTAAATTTGTATAATTGGTTGATTTTATTGTCCCTATCAAAATAGGTATAAATTGAGAAAGGAAACGAATAATGAAAAGGATCATAATATTCTAGCATAATATTGTGAAAAATTTTTAATTATTTATAAAAATAGTTAAATATTTTAAGGTTGTGTAACTAACTGTGTGTTAACCTTATTTTTTTCTTCATATTAACTATTATTATAAGGAGTTCACATGTTTACATACCAAAGCAGTTACTTTTTACATCAAATTTTTCTATGATTTATAATTTTCATAATGTTGGACTAGAACAATTATTAAGGTGCTTTTAAATCATTGTGCAACTTGTTTATTTAAATTGTATTTTAATATACAGTAAAAATAAATCCTTTAGGCTTAATAAGCTGGGGCTTGTACATAATTTGTAAATACCATAGCATACGATTCCGTTATGTATGTATGTACATTTTGAAATATTTAAGATAATATATTATTAGCCAAATATTTTGTAATTCATGTAAATAGTATGTTGAAACAATAGATAATTTATGTTTATATTTCTACATAGACGATTTGGATTATTAGAGTTTATTCTTTGGAAAATGTATTCTAAATTCTAAATAAATTTGTGTTTATACTTTTCAACTATTTATTTCTCCCAAAATTGTCTTTTCACATTTATCTGAAAAATATCAAGATAATGTATTTTCTATGATGGTGTGCTGGGAAATTTATCCTCAACACATGCATGGGCCTAAGTTTATCATGATTCATATATTACTTTTGTACGATTTCAAACTTTAAAAAATAACTTTTTAATCGTTAAGAAATGTCTGCAAATTGAATGCAACGATTTCCAAAATGGATTACTGTGATAAAACTTTTTCCAATAAATAATTTACTTTTTTCAATTTGCTGCATGCCCCATCATCGTAGGTTTAACATCATTTTACGACAAACTAGCCCTACGATATTTAAAATCCTTACAGCCTTTGTTAGCTTGTTCTCAATCAATTTACAGCTAGGTAGCATTAAGCCGGATTAGTTATTTGACAGTAGAGCCGAAACTCGGTTTATAAAAACACAGTTGGGATTTCTCTGTGCAACCCCTGCCACAGCGAAAACATTTGTTTAAAATGTGTTACACTTTCATGGATCATATAGCTACTTTTAGGTATGTAAATTAATGGGGAAATTGGTTCATCTTAACGATTTTGTCACATTTTTATCTGCCAACCAACCCCTTGATAAAAGGTATTAATTACTGGATGACCAGCTTCCAGTAAGACAAACTTCACCAGATTATTTGAGAAGTCAAAAAAAAGGAAATAATACAATACAACACGTATCATCCTATCTCGAACAGTTTTCTTTGAGTTTTCATTCTGAATTTGCTTTTTACAAAACCATTCATAGCTTCTTAACGGTTTGAGCTACAGATTTGAGATTCTGCAAAAGTTTTTATCCGTTTAACCGCTAAGTCTGTGCAATAATTTGAATGAAAACTGATAATTTGTTCAAAAATGGCAGCTTTTTTTATATTTGAAGCCAAATTCCTTAATAACCGTTAATTTTACAAAAACACGGCTGGACACAAAATTGTATTTTACCATTTTGTTTTAAAATTACGCGTTTTCATGGGGTTTGGCATAAAATCTTTATATTAGCTGCCATTTTTTACGGTTCAACAGCTTTTATTTATATTTTGCACAAAAATAGCGGTCGATTAGATAAACATTTCCGCATAATTTCAACACTGTAGCTTAAACCGTGAAACCGAAGTTATGCATTTATTTTTTTAACACATACAGGCAGACAGACAGAAAACTGTTCGAGATAGGACACATGTTGTATTGCATTTTATGCTTGTTTTGACCTCCCGAATAATCTGTTGAAATTTATCCTAGTGGAAGCTGGATTCCCTGTAAATATACTGTACTTGGTATGGTTTAAATATGTTTGATAACTATTAAATTAGGCCTACACCAAACAAGACAAGTTACATTATGAAAGCTTTATATAATGTAATAAATTGTTTACTCGAGACTTATGTTAACAATGATAAACTATTTGTTACACAACTATTATTTCTCTTTTACAACACACAAAAACAATCTCACGACAACATCACTGAAATTCTTGTTTAATGCCCCAGTGACAATAAAACAGACATAGCGGCTGTTTGGGGGCCAAACACCTCGTTGCAGTATTTTGAGTTTATGGTTTGTAAAGTTGCGTAAGAGAAAGAGGAATTTATGATATTACTCTGCGTTGGCTTGAAATTCACAATTTTAATCAAGTGTAGTTCATTGTGTGTCTGAGATGGAAATTCATAGACCTACAGTTAATTTTATACTTCATTATATTAAATTTTAGCCTCCTGATAGCATTTAAATACTAAATAGTTGGTGTAAATACCTGCATTTATGCGATGTGCTAAATTGCAACTGGTTTCGACTCACAAAGGAGTCATTGTTGGGCCATCTTTTCGAAGGTCGTCAATTCATAATAAATGAATATATTAAACACGCACACGTACACGAACATAAAGACTAATATTTATGGTTAAAATCTACGGGTAATGCTAGAACGGTAACGGGACACGACGTGATCGGGTGGGAGTTATGTCTAGACTTAGTGAGTTAACCATGAAATATGACGAAACATATAGTTCATCACACGGGCAAAAAATGGCTTTTCAACCCTCGCTCATTTTCCGACCTCCGCTTCAACAGTCACTTTACGCCCTAGTGATGAAATATACTATTTTCTGTCTTCTTATTATGGTACATTTTTACAGTACAATAAAATTAAACTTGAACTTAATTTTTATTTTTTAATAAGGCCTTGGTATTTTATAACTCATTTATTCGTGGTTATAAAATATAATAGTTTTTTTTACTAAGGGGTTTTATTCTGTATATAAGTGTTTTTCGTTGTGATAAAATGTATCGTTCATATCTTGTACCGAATCTAATTTTTCGACACCTGCTCAAATTGTTCCCGTCCTCGGCTTCACCTCACACATAGTATTTGGTGTTCATGCGATCGGCTTTGCTCACACAAGAAACTTGGATGAGACTTGGCTTTAGCCTAGACCCTAAGTTTACCTGGGAACAACATATCAGTCATGTATGTGTTAAACTCTCCCGTGTGGTTTTTCTTCTGTGGAAACTTAGGGGGGTCATCACTGATACATATTTGATAAATGTATATCATGTTCTATTTCAAAGCCATATCAGATATGGAATCCTGCTCTGGGGACATGCTCCTGGCTGTATAAAAGTGCTTCGTCTGCAGAAGAAGGCTGTCAGAGTGCTGTCAGCCGCTGGTTATAGAGACCACTGTAAGCCCCTATTCGCCAACCTTAAGGTTATGACCATCTTCAGCCAATATGTTTATTACGGCTTGATTAATCTCAGGAATAACATAGGTGAATATCAACAGAGGGGTGATCTCCATAATCATGACACCAGGCATGCACAGAAACTTGACATTCCTCGATGCAGGTTATCAAGATCCTTGGCAGCCCATCCCATCCCAGCCATGCGATTCTACAACATGTTACCGCCTCGGGCCCACACTGAAGACATGAAAGCTTTCTCCATGCGGATTTTTTACAAACTCACAAATGAGCCGCTGTACTCTTTTGAGGAAGTGTCTGGCGAGTACTTCTCGAATATATAATATGCACCGCCATCACTAGTTTTTCTATTTTGTAAATATTGGTTAAATAAGAATGTTATTTTTTTATTAGTTTTATTACTGTAATTTTATTTGACGCAGTCTATCCAACAAGTGTTGGGCAACGACATAGGAGTTGGTAATGGTAATGGTAATGAGCACTGGGAAAATGCCACTTATTTTCATTATTATTATTTGGTTTAGTATTGCTGAAGAAATTGAAAAATTTGTGAACAACCGTTTTAACTACTTTTACAAGCAATAA